AATGAACAATCAAACAGTACAGACTACAGACCGGCCATTGATTCATGGTAACAAACCACACGAGAGATTCTGGACTACCAGGACACCGTATTCAACTCATCCATCCAATTCAGAGGTTATATGCTAGATTCTCATTTCATATGTTCCACGGCCAAGTACGACGAATCGTGGCCTCGTGGGCGTGATAAACTGATAATTAATACGGGTGCAGATAACCTGCACTGCAGGTTGCAGAACGACAACACGCTCATACTTGACAGTGCAATGTACTACGTGCTATAATACCGTACTGTATTAGATTAAGTGACCCTGTTGATAATCAAACAAGCATCAAAGATTCGTCAGCTAAGCAATTCGGAGTTGATTAATCCCATGGCATATGCATCGCCCCTTACTAATGAGACTAGTTTTAACAACACATGGGACAATCTCAACAGATAACATATATATAACAAAATCCAGCAACTGACGACGACAACAGTTTGAGTGTAACACTTTAATTTTTTTGTAACACAGTGCGGACGCATGACACTCAGGTTATCCTACCATTGGATCACTGGCATGTGGGCTCCACCGAGCGTGTGATCCCATATTCCCATGGTAAGGAAGGGATAGCTACATCAGACGATCCATGTCTCTATGAGCATCTCCGAGAGACTCATCCGGCCACAGACGCCTTTGTAGAAGGTCTCCTCCCACTGAACGCACATCATCCGAAGTCCTGGAATTAATTCTGAAAAATGCGAGCAACAATGCCAATTATAGGATTTGAAACCTGGTGGGCAGAAAATATCACTATCCTCCTAACCACCCAACCACAGATTGGTTCGCAAGACTTCACTTTTTTATTCTCATTTAGAACAACACTGCAAGGTATATTCACAAAATAAAAAATACTGGATGGTAGTATTAAATTTATTGAGTAAGATAAACATCGGTTCAAATTCATTTTCTAGGATATTTCGGCTCAACATCATATTTGGGTTAGTCTTTTTTCCAGAGCACTAGACGATAACCCGCGCTTCGCGGCGGAAACACACAGGAATTGGTTGCAATATAGTATTATTTTGATGAGATTTGGTTGTTTTAAATTTAAATATGAGACAAAAGATTAATAATACATATGATTTGTTGTATTTGATTATTGTATAGTTACAAAATATTTTTAAGTAGTACTGTATTTCTCATGCATGTTGAGCACAATAAAAGCAGTGGAGTTGACAAAATAGGATGTGTGCATGTTGAGCGAATTCGTATGTGTACCATTTTCATGCATGCTTATTAAGAGAATAAAAGTAGTAGAGTTGATGAGGTGACATGTGTGCATGTTGACATAAATAAAAATAGTGAGAATCAAATACTTAAGTATAATTAATTCTTTTTAAGATATATAGGATCCACATGACACATGTGGTAACTAATCCAAGCTATTAACGAAAAAAGGTGACAGGTCTCAAGAAAAAAATATGCTTAGATCGGAGCCATATGGGCCAAGGGTATGTTCGCAACAGTTCAGCCTATAAAAGCCCAATAGGTTACCAACTCCCGTATGAAAGCATGACCCGGCCCGGAGGAATCAGCCCAATACACACACATATAGCTCCCACGGGCCACCTCTCCTCTCCACATATGAGCGGAGCCCGAACCGAGCAGAGAGAAACCCTCTTGCCCTTGTTCATCCTCCTCCCCCTTCCGCTCCTAGCTGGGGTTTTGCCCTGCCGTCAGCGGACGCCCAGCACAGCCAACCCGATGGAGCCCACCTCGTTGTCGACGGTGGCGAGGCAGACATGGGAGCTGGAGAACAACATCCCGGCCGCCGCCTTCTACCTGAACGCGATGGACGCGATCTACCGCTACGACAAGGCGGCCAACGCGCAGGCCCACCAGGAGAAGCCCTGGGCCACCGACCCGCACCACTTCCGCCGCACCAGGATCTCTGCCCTCGCGCTCCTCAAGATGGCCGTCCACGCCAGCGCCGGTGGCACCATCGAGATCATGGGCCTAATGCAGGGCAAGTTCGAGGGCGACTCCATCATCGTCATGGACGCCTTCACTCTCTATTTTTCTTTTTTAGTTTTCAACTGGTTTTTTTGTTTTATCAATTCTTTATATTCTATAACGATAATTTTTCATACATTACATTTTTAAATACATAATGAACATTCTACAAATATGATGATTTTTAAAAGTACATGATTTTTTCAAAAATAAGATGTTCATTTTGTATATGCATGATAGATATTTTTTAAAGACACGGTGAACATTTTTCATATACGTGATTAACATTCTTTAAAGAAACTTCGAATATTTTTCAGATACACAATGATTACTCCATCGCCACCCAGCCCAACGTGCCGCGGCGCTCGCAGAGGCCCTCATCGTCCTCACAACAGCTGATACTTGATCTCCAGTCCACACCCACCATCGTCTCCATCACGTCTCCTGCTGTTGGTTTCTCCGTGCCCACGTGCTAATGATGTCAATGTCACACAGGACGGCGAACAAATCGGTAGCTCTCCAACTTATCAAGCTCTTCCTTTCTGATGAACTTGAAGCTTCATTCGTTGTCCATGCGAAACTTCCTCGACAGTCCAACGATGTGCGGAGGTGGCGCTTCCACCCCCTCCGCCTGCTTGCCTTGGTGAGGGAGCAGATTGAAGCACACAATGGTGTTGACGTATCTCTGCCCCTGCCGGCATCTGTGGTCGCCCGGGATGAGTTAGAGACCAGGTAGATGAGGCCATTGGGTGATAAAAGTTACACTACCATTGAGGTCTCCGGCCAACTTCCGCTTCCACTTTCAAGCGACGGCTAGTCGCCGGAATCTCTAATCATCGTCGTAGGACGGCGTAGCCCCGCGGTTCTTCGGACAGGGGGGCTGACAATCACCCCCTCTAGGAGAGATAGAGAGGGGATGAGATGGGGTGCGACCGGCGCCGGTCCAGGAAGACATAGGAAATGGGGCAGCAGCGCTCCATGGGAGAGGAGGAACGGAAGGTGAGGAGGGCTCCACGAACGGGAGGCATGGATAGACAAGAAGAGGAAGGCGGCCGCCAGGGTCCTCGCTCGATTACCTACCGTGATTTATTCCTTCCCATGAATTTATTGTATTACCATGTACAGCCAAGAAGAAATTGATTGCCGCCCAAGAATTTATTACGTTGCCAAAGAAAATATCGATTTGATTACCAAAGATTTATTTGATTACCAAAGATGAAAGCGTGAATGCACGACGCTACTCTTGAGGTGCCCCTCCTCTTGCGACCGCGTCGTCCCCACGCGGCGACCTCCTCCTCCTTCAGTCCCCTCTCCCCTTCCTTCCCACCACCGTCGCTGCGCCGGCGGCCAGCCTGGCCCCGGGGGACGCTGGTGGTGGTGACACCCTGGTCTTTCTCCTCCCGGTGGATCTCCGGTGCGGGGCGGAGCTGCACCGAGGGGTGCTCCTAGGCGGCGGCGGTCTGGCTAGCAGCGGGGTTCCCAAGCGCGGCGTGGGCGGGCGGCTGGGCGGCGACACCATCGTTGGCGGCGGGGTGGCATAGCTGCGCGGCCTGGCGGCGGCGCTCGGCCCAGATCTGGGCCCTTCGGGCCCCATCTGGGTCTAGGCGGGCCGGCGGCGGGGCGGGTTTGTGGCGTGACTCCCAGGAGGCGGGGGAGTGGCGATGAACAACGGGGTGCTGGCGGCGCCGACACCAACCAGCTGCAGTGTGGCCGCCGGGACTTAGCAGGCCCATTTTGGCACTGGCTGGGCCAGGGGTGGCCTGGTATGCCCCGCTGGCGTGTCTGGACGGCTACCGTGACGGTGCCGGAGGCGGGGTCCTCTCGCACGACGGCGGTGGAGGTGGTTCCTTCCCGCTCGGCCTTGGTGCTGCTGCTCCCGTTGCTTGGCTCTTCTCTCTAGTCTTCTTGGCCTCTGTTGGTGCTCGTAGTGAGACGACATGGGTGGCGGCGCAACCGTGATGGTGCATGGTGTTGGGCGGTGGGTTTTGGAGTGCGGGAGAAATCCTTGCCGGTTCGTCTGGCTCCGAGGCGGTGACATCGGCGGGTGCCACTATTCCTTCTTGGAGGGTGTCAGTACTAACCACCCCCACCTCCCCCCGCATATTGGGGGAAACCCTACTCATCCGGGCAGCAACGTCATCGGCGTCGCATTCCTTCTTGGAGGTGCTGCTTTGTACGCGGTATATCAGAGCTTCAGGCTGTGGTGGTTCATTTTCGGAGGACGCAGCGGTCAGGGGTCTTCCACGCTTTTGTCGAGCTGCCGCTGTTGGCATTTGTTTCTTCTTCTTTTTTCTTTTGGGCTTGATGTGCCGCTTGTCCCAGCATTGCGTTGTGTACAAATGGTGATTTGCTTTGGAATACAAAGCGGAGAAAACCCCTTTTTGGATAAAGTTGAAAGCGTGGGAGGGGAAGGTGGGGTGCATGAGGAGGATGGACGGAGAGGTGGGGGACATAAGACGGGAGACAACACTCCGTTTCTTTTAAGGCAGTAGAGATGATTACCAAAAATGAAAGCGTGGGAGGAGGTTACCAAAGATGAAAGCATGGGAGGGGGAGCGGGTTGTAGGGGGAGGATGGATGAAGGGGGACGTAGGACGGGAGACGGAACACTCTTCTCTTTTAGGTAGTAGAGATAGAGATACAGAGGATTCAGGTTAGGGCCTCCTTTGGTTTAGAGGAATTTCATAGGAATTCTAGAGGATAGGATTTTTATAGAATTTTTTCCTTTAAAGCCCTTTGGTTCATAGGAATGGATTCCTATTCCTACATAGGATTAGTTCCTATCCTCCATATTTCATAGGAAAATAAAAAAGAGCCTAGACTCAATGGAAAAATTTCTTTGGTGTCAACCAAATGACATCTTGTTTTCTATTCCTGCTCATAGGATTTGAGATACATGTCATCTCATTTCCTACAAGATTCCTATTCCTATGATAATCCTATCCTATGAACCAAAAGAGGCCTAGAGGTCTCGAGAAAAAATATGCTTGGATCGGAACTCTATGGGCCAAGGATATATTCGTAACAGTTCAGCCTGTAAAAGTATTGGAAAGCACGGCCCGGCCCGGAGGAATCGGCCCAATATACACACACCTAGCGACCACGGGCCACCTCTCCTCTCCACATATTGGAGCGGAGCCCGAACCGAGCAGAGAGAAACCCCTCTTCCCCTCCGTCCTCCCCTCCCCTTCCGCTCCCAGCTAGGGTTTTGCCCGCCCACCTGCCGTCACCGGACGCCCCTACCCGGCGCAGCCAGCGCGATGGAGCCCACCTCGTCGTCGGCGGTGGCGAGGCAGACGTGGGAGCTGGAGAACAACATCCCGGCGGCCGCCTCCGACCCGGACGCCATGGACGCGATCTACCGCTACGACGAGGCGGCCAACGCGCGGGCCCACCAGGAGAAGCCCTGGGCCTCCGACCCGCACCACTTCCGCCGCGCCAGGATCTCCGCCCTCGCGCTCCTCAAGATGGTCGTCCACGCCCGCGCCGGCGGCACCATCGAGATCATGGGCCTCATGCAGGGTAAGTTCGAGGGCGACTCCATCATCGTCATGGACGCCTTCGGGCTCCCCGTCGAGGGCACCGAGACCCGGGTCAACGCCCAGGCCGACGCCTACGAGTACATGGTCGAGTACTCCACCATCAACAAGCAGGTACTGCGCCCCTCCCAGTAATCTTTTGTTATGGAGCTCTCAATCTGACCAGAGACTGCAATGTTGCTCCAAATAGACTGTCTATGTTCTTGCGCACATCAAAATTGTTAATAGTTCGTGCTAGTACCTTGTCATGTTGAAAAGCTTTGGGGTGGATTATTAGGCAATGCTGTTAATTTGGTGTCTATGTTCGTCTTATGGTTAGGTGCATCCAACTTGTGCAGTTAAATGTGGACAATTCCTTGTTGCTTATATGATCTTAATAGTTCTGTTTTTTAGTTATGAACTTGTCTGCCTTTGTGTAATTTTGCCCTCAGATCAGTCCAATCTGTTGTAGATATTGATGACTTGACTTAGCTTGCTGACATATTGTGTAATCTGATGCAAGGTTACAATTCTGGAAAGTGGAAACATGATTAGTGGATTCGTGAGTAACTGTATCAATATATTTTGTAGTTATCATGGTTAATTAGTAGTGGTGTCATAGTATTTAGTGTTGGATCGAACAGGACCCAATGCTTCCATATTTTCTTTCACCATTGAATTGATTTTTAGAATTGCTCTGTACTCGCTATTTTATTCAAATCTCTGATTTCGCCCCCCTGTTTTTGAAAGCTTAGATATACTCCCTCCGTCCCAAAATAAGCGTCTCAACTGTAACTTAAGTATGAAGTAGTATGAAGTTGTACTAAAGTTGAGACACTTATTTTGGGACGGAGGGACTAGTACCTTCATTGTGCATTTGTGCTTGTTTAATCTGTTTTGGCAAAGAATAATTTAGAGAGTACTGCAACTGAGATATGTGAACTGGGGAAGTAAGGGTGTGTTAGGATTTGAGCCAAAGCTGGCCTTACCAAAATATGGGCGTGCCCACAGGTTTTGGCTGCCGTTTGGATTGAGACCAATATTTTGGCTAGCCCAGCGTGCCATGAATGCCCCTGTGTAATTTTCGCCAAACCATGGGCGCGGCGAGGGCGTAGGAATCGCTCGCCAAAAAGTTGGCGTGCTCAGCCCGCTCTTACGTGTACGTGAATACCGTTTCGTGATGTTAAAAAAAGCGATGGATTATCTCGCTGAGTAGCAGAATTCCAGAAAGCAGTGGTCATGCACGTTTTACGTCGTGGTTGTTCCGATTTCCTTTTCGTAAGACCATGGTTAATTACTAGTGGTGGCATAGTATTTAGTGTGGTATTGAACAGGACCCAATGCTTCCATATTTTCTTTCACCATTGAATTCATGTATAGAATTGTTCTGTACTTGCTATTTTATTCAAATCTCTGATTTCGTCTCCCTGTTTTGGAAAGCTTAGATACGGGACATATCCTTGATTGTGCATTTGTGCTTGTTTAATCTGTTTTGGCAAAGAATATTTTAGAGAGTGCCGCAACTGAGATATGTGAACTTGGGAAGTAATATATGCACGTGCAGGTGTGTGTTAGGTGTTTACTGTTAAATACTGATCAAACTAACTTGCATTTGTTCTTCATATGGATAGGCTGGAAGGTTGGAAAATGTGGTTGGCTGGTACCACTCACATCCTGGTTATGGATGCTGGCTGTCAGGCATTGATGTTTCAACTCAGATGCTTAATCAGCAGTTTCAAGAACCATGGTTGGCTGTTGTGATAGACCCTACAAGGACTGTTTCTGCTGGTAAAGTGGACATTGGAGCTTTTAGGACATACCCAAAAGATTACAAGCCACCGGATGAGCCTGTGTCTGAGTATCAGACCATACCACTCAACAAGATAGAAGATTTTGGTGTTCACTGCAAACAGGTAATGTGATCAATTCTCTTATTATTTATATTTTTATTTGTTGCAAAGTGTGGTTTAGTTCTGTTCTAACTGTAATTTTCATGCAGTACTATTCTTTGGATATAACCTATTTCAAGTCATCCCTGGACTCTCACCTCCTTGATCTACTCTGGAACAAGTACTGGGTCAACACATTATCTTCATCACCACTTCTGGGCAACAGGGATTATATTGCTGGACAAATCTTTGATTTAGGTAAGCGTTTCCTTCTAGGAATATTTCTAGGAACTTGGCTTTTGGTTATATCTTGTTTGGCCTTCCAATAAATTGTGGGACAGTGATAAATTTTTTTGTGCTATGCAGCTGATAAACTAGAGCAAGCTGAAGGGCAACTGGCACACAGTCGATTTGGCATGCTTATGCCATCACAGCGAAAGAAAGAGGTCAGATTCTGTGTTCATGCCCTTTAAACTCTGGTTACCTCAGTGTACACCACTGTCCTTTTTGCCCTTCCGAAGTTCACTGGTCCAGCACTATCTTGATGGCTCCATAATTATTTCCGTTTCTGCATCTTTCATTGTATCATATCAATATACAGTTACCTACTCCCTCCGTCCCATAATATAAGACGTTTTCGCAAGACAGAGGGAGTAGTCATTATGATGTTGTGTGATTTGTTATTCTTCATCACTTCCTATAGTAAGTGGATGGTCCTATTTGTCTGACTGTCACTTGTTCGCTTTTCGTTTGGATATGTTACAAATCTGGTATCTGTTGTTTATTTGTTGAAGGAAGAAAAGAGAAAGCATAGTCGATATGATGCAAATTTTATTGTGGTGTGTAAGATCAGTACTAGTAAGAATTTGAGAAGTTGTGCTTGAGAAAAACTTGTTTGGATAAATGAGAAGTTGTGAATTTCTGATGGTTGACCTTCTAGGAATGGCTGATGGTGTTTTATACTTTGATTCCACTTCAATTCCATGCTTAGTTAGTTCTGAAGTGTGGTATGTGAATTTATACTTGATTGTGCTTGAGCTTAACTGCATGAAATGAGGGGCTGTGTACAGTTCTGTAGATATTGCATTGGTATTTTAGTTTTGTAATATGTTCCTCCTGCGCCGTAATTATTTACACACCTGCAGGCACAAATGATTTATTTATTTGCCAAGTTCACTCAGTTTCGTGCCCATCTTTTGCTTTCCAACGTGGATCAGTTTATTAATTAGTTGGCACATCCTAAGTTCTTATTGCTTTGTAATCTTGTATTGGCAGGTTCTCCAGTTTATGTACTGTCTCTGAACTATTTTTTATTGGTGAACTAAATGTGGTTTCTGTTGTTTCTTTGGTTTTATGGTTTCTCTAGCAAGAGGAGTCGCCGCTGGCTAAGGTAACCCGGGATAGCTCCAAAATTACCGCTGAACAGGTTCATGGTCTCATGTCACAGGTAAATCTCAACTTGTTCCTGAATTCCATAGCGTTTTAGTTCTCCTGGTACAAATTTCTTAGTTCTCCTGGCACAAATTTCTGATGCTACCCCTAACTAGTACAATTTGATCCTTGAAGGTCATCAAGGACATCCTCTTCAACTCTGTGCACCCGTCAAGCAAAAGCAAGGCAAGCGCAAGCGGAGCCGCCCCAGATTCACCAGTGCCTGAGCCCATGGTCGAAGCATGAGAGTTCCAGTGAAATTTTGATGCTGGATTAACCTACACCGGGCTTGCGAGCCGTTTCATCACTTTGAATCGTGGCCAGCATAGTTATCTGATTCGGACTTTGGTCGGCTGGGAGCTTCATCATCTGTCAAATCAGAATTGGCATGTAATTATGAGTTACCTTTTGCATCTAGTGATGCCACTGAAGAGGTTCTGTTATTTACTTTTAGGAGTTTGATTGAAGTCACCTTGGGTAAACCATGCGGCTATTATGTTTGGTGGATGTTGACAGCCTTTCTGATTGGTCGGCACAATCTACCTATGTTCAAGGTCTCTATCAAACAGTGCGCTCATTTTTTTCCCATACTTTAAGACTTATAAGCGGTATATCCGCTTGTTTGATTCCCCTGCTCGCCAGAAGCTGCTTTCAATCACGAGCCGTAGAGCTGCAATGTTTGCGATGTTCTCCGTTTATTTGACTTTGACGTGAAGGCATTGAGCGCTAATATCTTAGTGTATTTTGCGATTGGTGAGGTAAAATAAAGCTTTATTTGTTACTCCAATCAACATAACTCTGGGTACAAAACCAGCCGGTTGTTGATAAAAAAATGCACTAGTTGCACTCACCGGCCAAGTTGATGGTTCTGTGGTTTGATGTTTACCGTTCTCGCGCCTTGACTAATGGTTCCGGGTAAACATGTCTGCTCCTGCAATTCAAGCGCTTTAAACGGAACGCGTCTAATTCTTCCTTATGCTGAGGGTTTGACAAAAAATTCCTAGTCCACTAATCCACAAGTCACCCCTATACCAACTTGTAGTACATAGGCTAGGCGGCGGCTATACAAATGGAAATACAAGGCGGACATACTCGTTCAATGGCGTTCCCAAATCCCAATATGCAGGGCTTCTTGCTAGTCTGACAATACCTTGACCAAACTCAAACAAGACGGGAGTCATTTCAATGTGACCATCACCGTGTCTTCCCCAGCACCAGGATTATCAGAAGACAGCCGCCAACAATCGAACCGTGCGGGCGTGCGGCGATCGATCAATAAGAAGCTCGCGGCACCCGCGATGAAACAGAACCAACCTGTCACCTGTCGCAGCCAGCAGCCTTGCCTTGCTCCATTGCCAGCCTTGACGAGCTGCACGTACGAGCACGGACATTCCCGTAGCACACTTGGAGACACCATGAGAGCGCTCATGGTCTTCTTCTTTCTCGCCACCTTGCCTTGGATCGCCCTCTCGGCCGGCGACCACCGGAGCGTCATGTGGCGCGGCGACTCCTTCGCCGTGGAGGACGCCGCCTCGTCGTCGTCGTCTTCGTCTTCTTCCGGCCGGCACGTGCACGCCCTGGTGTCCCCTGGCGGCAACTTCTCGTGCGGGTTCCGCAAGGTGGCCACCAACGCCTACACGTTCGCCATCTGGTTCACGGCCTCGGCCGACGCCACCGTCTCCTGGGCGGCCAACCGCGACGCCCCCGTCAACGGCCGGGGCTCCCGCGCCGAGCTCCGGCACGACGGCTCCCTCGTGCTGCGGGACTTCGACGGCCGCGTCGCGTGGAGCACCAACACCAGCGACGCCGGCGCGGACCGCGCGGCGCTGCTCGACTCCGGCAACCTCGTCGTGTCCGACGCGTCCGGGCGCGCGCTCTGGCAGAGCTTCGACTGGCCCACCGACACGCTCCTCCCCGGCCAGCCCATCACGCGGTACCGCCGCCTCGTGTCGGCGTCGGCGAGGGGCCTGCCCTACTCCGGCTTCTACAACTTCTACTTCGACAGCAACAACATCCTCAACCTCATGTACGACGGCCCGGAGATCAGCAGCAACTACTGGCCGGATCCGTTCAACAAGTGGTGGGACAACAACCGGACGGCCTACAACAGCAGCCGCTACGGCATCCTCGACGCGCGCGGCAGCTTCTACGCCAGTGACAACCTCAAGTTCAACGCCTCCGACCTCGGCGATACCGGCGTCATGCGCCGCCTCACGCTCGACTACGACGGCAACCTCCGCCAGTACAGCCTCGACGTCTCTTCAGGGAAGTGGCGGGTCACGTGGGCGGCCATGTCGCGCCAATGCGACGTGCACGGCATTTGCGGCCGCTACGGGCTGTGCACGTACGGGCTGGGCGGGGCGCCGGTGTGCTCGTGCCCGGAGGGGTTCGTCGTCACCAACGCCAGCGACTGGAGCAAGGGCTGCCGGCGCGAGTTCGACGTCCGGTGCGGCGAGGACGTGTACTTCGCGCCGATGCCGGCCGCCGACTACTGGGGCTTCGACTTCAACTACACCGAGGCGCTCACCATCGACACGTGCCGCCAGATCTGCCTCGACGACTGCAACTGCGAGGCGTTCGGCTACAAGCAGGGCTCCGGCAAGTGCTACCCCAAGATCGCGCTCTGGAACGGCCGACGCCCGGACAGCAAGCAGGTCATCTACCTCAAGGTGCCCCGCCGCGTCCAGAACCTCGACCCCTCCGTGCTGCGCTTCGGCGGCCACAGGTGCACTGTGCGCGAGGTGAACGCCAACAGCAGCGCCTCCTACCTGCTGGCCGCCGGCAGCAAGCTCAACTTCGTCTACTTCTACTCCTTCCTGGCCGGGCTGTTTGTCATGGAGGCCATCTTCATCGCCGTGGGGTACCCGTTCGTGTTCCGGGCCGACCCGGCGGCGCGGCGGATCCGCGACGAAGGGTACAGCCTGGTGCTCAACCACTTCAGGAGGTTCACGTACGACGAGCTGTCGGCCGCGACCTCGGAGTTCAGCGACGTGGTCGGGAGGAGCGCGTCGGGGGCCGTGTACAAGGGCGTCCTGGACGACGGCCGGAGTGTCGCCGTGACGCGGCTGGAGGAGGTGACGCAGGCGGACGAGGTGTTCCGGTCGGACCTCAGCGTCATCGGCCGGATCAACCACATGAACCTGGTCAGGATCTTCGGCTTCTGCTCCGAGCACTCGCACCGGCTCCTCGTCTCGGAGCACGTCGAGAACGGCTCGCTCGACAAGGCCCTCTTCGACGACGGCGAGGACGGCGCCGCCGCGCTGGGGTGGCACGCGAGGTACGGGGTCGCCGTGGGCGTGGCCAAGGGGCTGGCGTACCTCCACCACGAGTGCCTGGAGTGGATCGTGCACTGCGACGTGAAGCCGGAGAACATCCTGCTGGGCGCGGACCTGGAGCCCAAGATCAACGACTTCGGGCTGGTGAAGCTGCTGAGCCGGCGGGACGAGCGCGGGCGGGTGCTGTCCCGGGTGCAGGGCACCAGGGGGTACGTCGCGCCGGAGTGGGCGCTGAGCCTGCCCATCACCGGCAAGGCCGACGTGTTCAGCTTCGGCGTGGTGCTCCTGGAGCTGCTCCGCGGGCAGCGGGTGTGCGACTGGGAGGTGGACGGGGGAGGCGGGGAGGCGCTGCGCATGGACTTCCCGCGGCTCGTCGCGCTGCTGAGGGAGGAGACGAGGGACCTGCAGGAGGCGTGGCTGGAGGAGTTCGTCGACGCGCGGCTGCGCGGCGACTTCAGTCACCCGCAGGCGGCGGCGATGCTGGAGGTGGCGGTGTCGTGCGTGGACGACGACCCCGGCAGGAGGCCCAGCATGGACGCCGTCGTGCAGATGCTCCTCTCCTCGCAGGACGAGGTGCCGCCGTCGCTCCGCCACGCGTCGTCTCCGGTTCCAGAGATCAGCCGCATGGTCTGAATCAGTCCCTGATGATTGGCACCTGAGAATCAGGCTTCGTTCCAATTAAGGAGGATCTCAATTTTTCCCTAAAAAAAGGAGGATCTCAATTTTGTATCATTTTTTGTTATTTATTTTCCCCAGTGTGCAATATTCAGCCGATGTTTCCCAGTGTAAAATACGAGTTCAAATTGGATTTTTTATGGGAAAAAGTTCAAATTGGATGATTGAACTGACCGCTCAAGTGTCAATGGGGTAGCATTACTCTGATCCTTCAGTTTGTCATTGGTTTGATGGCAGCGACAGCAAAACGTGTCACTCATGAATATTGAATTCATGCTAGGTAGTTGCTTCAAAAGTTTAAATTATCAACCGCAAAAAAATAAGGTTTAAATTATGGGAGAAAACCTGACATTATACTCCAACACACTCTCTCTCACGTCAATGCTTCTTTCAAGTTTATGACATGTGCAGCAAAAGCGAGGGTATGACACAATTATTTATCCCGTTTATTGAGTTTTGAAGCCGAACCTTCTGATTGTAGTGATTGTAGGTTATATGCACTTAACCAGTTCATACATCCCACTGAACTGATGAAGAGAGACGGACAATATATTTGAACACTGAATACTCCTACGGCTGCGACACCAAACAAGTCACTTACAAGTACATCTGCCAGAGTCAATGCAAATTTTCTATTTGTAAAGAAAAATATATGTCAACATCATTACCTCACCTTGCAATTTCTGATGCTTTTCTGCATTTTTATGCAAACATCGTGGAACAAGTATCAATTCATTAGTTTAGGTCTCAATTTTGGCCATTTCCAACTATTGGGGATATAACCCCATGGTATAACCCGCCCCGAAAGGGCGGGTTAGGCCGGTGGCGACTCTCGAAGCTAGGCCTCAGACAGGCCCAGGTGATCAGGACGCAGGGCCGAGGGGCGCCTCATAAGATGGGCTGGCTTAAGGCCCAAGGCCAAAAGATGACACGTGGCCCGGAGGTGTAAGCCGCCCTATGATGACTTGTCATAGAAGGCAAGACGACTTAGAGTTAGGATCGGTCACGGATCATGACCCGACCTGGACTGTTGTAAGCCGGCGACCTCGGCCTGTATATAAAGGCGAGTCCCCGACATATAATAGGACAAGTTACAATCAATCGAGAGCTAGGTCAAGCGAATCCGCTCCCATGTAATCGATACTCAAGCAATAAGCAACAACAACAGGAGTAGGCTTTTACCTCCACCATGAGGGGCCGAACCTGGGTAAACTTGTGTCTCTCGTCCCGCTCAACCCCGACAAGTTAATCACCGTTGCGACGGCCTTGCGTCTAAGTCCTTTCACTAGGACATCT